AGCCACTTCCCAACTGATTCAATGTGACCAGCCACTTCCCAACTGATACAATGTGACCAGCCACTTCCCAACTGATTCAATGTGACCAGCCACCACTTCCCGAGTGGCCAGTCACTCACATTCCTGCTGCCACAGCTGAAGCCATTTCTGATGTCAAGGCCACAAGATTGTGACCTGAACTGTGATCTTAAATCCTCCCTTCCTGATGCTGTCTTTTTCAGAACAGAAAACGGGAAAGGTAAGTTTGAAGCCAAGGGCTGGAGAAGCCCTCAATTGCTGTAAGCAGAGTTTAATGAACCATTTGGGTGAGAGGTCCAGCGATCAGGGCACTGAGAGAAATGTAGACTGTGCTGGCCCAGTTTATAAGGCTTCAGAAGAGAATAAGAACATTATTTGCAAATATATTAGAGAACATTTACATTATGTTCTGGCAGAGAATCCTTTAACCTGAAAAAAAAAACTGAGTGAGGCTGAATTTGAAAGTAATGAAGCTGGGCATCAAGGATGGCATAGCCTTTAATCCCAGCACTGGGAGTTCAAGGCCAACCTGGCCTACAAAGTGAGTTCCAGGACAGCTAGGGCTACATAGAGAAATCTTATCTGGGGTGGGGGGTGTGAGAAAAAGTACTGGACTTAGTTATTTGGTGGGGAGGGGACTCCTAAGACAGACTAACATTCAAGCTGTGGAATGGTTATTGCTCACCGCTCTTAGATCTCTGGTGAGAGACAGCAGAAAGAGTTAATAAAATGTGCTGTTTGAAAAATAAAAAGAGTCTGAGTGAGCTTGAAGATGCCGACCAGAAGGGTGTGGACAAAACAGGTGCTGAAGAGAAACTGGGAGTACTGAAGAGATGGCTTAGTGGTTAAGAAGAGCACTGGCTGCTCTTCCAGAGGACCCAGGTTCGAGTCCCAGAACTCACATAATGGCTCATGACTGCCACTCCAGGTCTAGGAAACCCAACACCCTCTTCCGGCCTCCACAGGCATCAGACACACAAACAGTGTACAGGCGCATATGCCGGCAAAACACATAAAAATAAATATTAAATAAAACATAAAAGTAAACATTAAAACCAGAGTGATGGGAGCCCTGCTATTGGGACAATAGGGAAAGAGAGGGCAAAGCCCTCACTCCCGTAGACTCCAGCCATGTAAATACAAGCTTATTTAAACAGAGAGACTGAGCTGATGTCATTGTTGGAAGGTCTTCCCGACTCAAAAACATCAATCCAAGGAAATGTTTTCCCAGGTCATTTGCTAAGGTTACATAGAGGCCACTCCAACTGTGATAGGAAGATAACAGTGTGTTATCTTAGCAGCAGCTACTTGGTAGCCTTTTTGCCATATGGAAAACGCAAGAGTTATAGGACCATAGAGGCTTGTGCCCAGGTTCCAGAAAGCTGCCAAGAATTGGCAAGGTGCAAAAGGATTGAAGTCCCTAAAGGGATGCCCAGAGAAGCCACTGAGTGAGACAGGGAGGAAGAAGTCTCAATTGCAGTGGAGACCTGGGATACAGGAGCTGCCCAAACTTTCCAGCCCAGAGTAGAGAGAGAGCAAGAGAGAGGCCCCATGTGCCACAGGTGGGAAGAACCAGAGGAAAAGACTACCCAAGGCAGCTGAGCCCAGATCCCAGGCACGTCGCTGCAGGACTCAGTCTGCCCACCTGGATTTTGGTCTTGCTTTGGTTCAATCCTTCTTTGCCTTGCTCCTGTCCCTCCCATTTGGAATAACAAGATTTATTCTGTGCCATTGTATATCAAAGCATATAACTTGTTTACTGTCTTTTTTTTTAAAACTGGCTTTTATAGAGGTTCAAAATTAAGACTTATCTTGAGTCACAGAAGAGACTTTGGACTCTTGAGCAATGTAGGGACTAGAAGATGCTGTGGAGATTTTGCACCATGTGTATTTTACTAGATGGAGTGAATCTTTATGGGAAGGGGTGGAATGTTCCCTTTAGAAGTATGTGTCTGGGTGTCAGGTTGCTAAGGGGTGGAGTTGTGACAGTTTAGCTGTCAACTTGGAATCACCTAGGAGACACACCTCTGGGCATGTCTGTGAAGGTGGTTCTGGAGAGGCTCAGCTGAGAAGGACACCTGCCGGGAATACAGGCAGTGTTTTCCCATAGGCTGGCACTTCAGGTGAAATAAAATGTAATAATAAAAAAAAAGGAGAAATCAGGCCGTGTTTACGGCTTGCTGCTTCCTGAGGGCAGATGTGGTGTGACTGGTTACATTGTTCTCTTGATTGACATGTGCCTTCCCCTCCACAACGTGAGCTAAAATGAGCCCATTCTTCCCTAAGCCCCTTTATCAGATCCAGATCCTTGTCACAGCAAGGGACTAAGTAACCAGCAGATGGATTTCTCACAGCCACAACAGCCTGTGACGGAGGCCAATGCTGCTTGCCTTGATGGAAGACTGACTTCACCACTTTCTTTGAAAGGCATGCTACAAAGTTCTCATGCAAAAAGCAAAGGGTCCAAATGGTAGGCTTAACCTGCTTGGACCCCACAGATCAACCACCCTACGCTGAACGGGACCATTTCAAAGGAAACCAGAAAACTAAAGGTCCTGACACTTTGGCATCGATTGCTAGTTTACAAATACCTATGTGAAGGTGCCAGGTACCCTCTAAGCGTCACACAAGGTATGGAGATGAAGTCACACTGAGTCCGACCCTGGGAACTCACAGGTACACACCACAGGCGTGGTGCCCAATTTTCTGTCTCATTCCACACACACGGTTACCTTCTAGGATGGAAGTCAACCTCTCCCATGTACATATAAGGCAGAAAGAGGGAATGGCTCTTAAGCTTACTGTCACTATTCTTTTACACACGGACTCAAGAATTAGTGTCACATCACACTTAAGCGATCTGGTAGCCACCCTGACTGTTACTCAAACAGACCACTTATATCTAGCTGGGAAGGCCTATAAGTTAGATAGGCAGAAGCAAAGGTTTTGCTGGATGTATAGAGGAGATGTCTGTCCAGTCTTCCTGAAATGTACGTTCACTGCATGCAGACCATTCTTGTTCTGTGGAGCGGCTTTAGGAGTGTATAAGCTCTCGTGGGAATTTGCGGTCTCTCACAAGTTTGTCATTGTTCAATAGCCTAGAAAGCATTTGTTCTTAAAATTCTTAGAAATCCAGTCAATTTCTAGCAGCGACCTTTGGTGACCCCAGAAGTCCCTGGGCCTAAGGAGGGCAGGCAGTGAAGAAACCATCTTAGGGGGCTAACAAGCATTCACAGGTTCCTTTCTGGACAGTTATCGGTCACATTCCCCAAGAAGCAGTACACACCATCCAATCCCTCTTTTATTTAGACATGAAATCGTAGCACAGTGATAGAAATATCCTCAGAACGTCAGCAATGGTGAAGACCCCGCGAGCACAGACAACACAAACACTCCCCCATCTCTAAAGTGGAGGGCCAGACGCACAAGGCCCTATGAGGAACCAACCAGGGAAAATGTGCTTAGCCTTGCACTGAGGCCGGTTAGCAAGGGAATCAGGGAGGGGCATCTGGAGGTGACGGTGAGGAAAGAAGTCAGAGCAGACACTGAAGACCAGGGACGGACAGAGAACGAGGAAGCTCTCCCTAGAGGCCACTCCTTCCAGAGGGCAGGGAACTGAGCCTCTTCAGTACTGGTGTTTGCCCTGGGGGCCGATGAGAGGAAGCCACGCTGTGCCAGGCTAGGTGCAGAGGTAGTACCCTCTCCACTGTCCTACCCAGAGAAAGAGCCCTTCTGCTCATGCCAGGGTTGCTTATTTTGCCCCTTTGGCATTAATCATTTAAAATCAATGAAAATCTACTTCTCAGGTTTCAAACTAGGGTCAGGAAAGACGAATTAATAAGTGGCTTATTTTTTTTAATTCATCTGGTGGCTGGCGTAGCTCCTTCTAAACTAAGGCTTCATGTTTGAAAAAGTTTGTGCCAAGGAAAGAGAAAGGGGGACAGAGAGACGGAGAGAGCAAAGATCTCTACAAGGAAAATGTGTAATTGGTTCTTAAAAATGTAAGGCTTCGATTTAAAAAACAATTAAGAATCGACACATTAAAGTCTAACAAAAACATTAAACCAGTTATTGACTTGCATAAGATAAGTAACAAACAAGCAAACTGAGGTACTGCGTTACTCTCCCACAGCCAAACTTCTGATCAGAACAAACACTTCCTTCTTATCCTTGGGGTTAAATCCACTCAGGCACAGAAGAAATAAGAAAGAATCGCCCTCTAGTTAGCGGGAAGGGCGTGGCTACTAAGAGACAGGAGTTTTACCCTTCATTCAAATAATAAATAAAATTTAAAAAGTCGCTATTTACAGCTTACAGACCCCTGTGTCGCCTGTCTTCACAGTGATGAAAGCCAGCTGCCCTCATCCACAGCTACTTCCTACCTTCCCCTCTGACCAGCTGTTGCTGTGGGCAGACTTGCCCTGCCTTGCTCTTACACACACACACACACGCACCTCCCCTCCCCCACACGCCTTCCTTAGCTAGTGTAGGGGACATTGCTGTGCCCTCAAATAAAGGCTGCATCCTTAGCAAATGCCAACCGTAACCCCTGTTTTCCTTCCTGGATGCAGCTCTTGAAAACAGTTCTGTGCTCCTGGGGACACGTGTGCGACCATGAGTGAGACTGGTGTGTGTACATGAATGCACATATATGTGAAAGTGGTGATGTATGTGTTATCGTGGGCATGTGTGGGTGTTGTGTGTGTATGTGTGCACACACGACTGCTAGCGGGGCAGTGCATGTGTGGTTATGGGCATGAGTGTGCCTGTGCCCACTGGCAGGGGAGTGTTCTCGTGTGCATATGTGTGAAAGTGCAGGGGTGTGGGGTGGCTGACTACACAGCTGGCAGACAGAGCACAAATCCACCAGGGTCATCCTGTGGCAACAGGAGTTCCGTTCCCCTGAAGCTCACTCACAGGGCCCACAAGTTAGGTTAACCAGAGTTTCTAGGCTTTCCAACACCCAACATCTTTCTGATTTTGGAAGGAAACAAATCATAAAATGTAGCACCACGTTCCGGCTCTACAACAGGAGAGCACCCATCCTCGGTGGCCACAGGCTTGCAGAGTCCCCAGGAGGTGGTATACCACCTGGGGCAGAGGGCCACTGGGACCACTCCTGAGGGTGGGAGGTTAGAAGGCATTTCACAGGTCCTTCCTCCCCACGGGGGGGGGGGAGCAGGAAGAGCAGAGCCAGGCAAGTCTGCTGTGTCCCACGCTGGCCTACTTGGCTCACGGTGCATGGTGCACAGGTGGGCATTAGAGGAAGCTGTGGGTCACCCATGACTAAGTGCACCAGAGGAAAGTTCCAGGCTGTGGTCCTGTCCCTTGCTGGCCTACCTGGTTCACAAGAGCCCAGGTGGGCAAGGGGCGAAGGAGGCAGTGGTGGGTCACACCAGGCCCACCTAGTTCACAGTGTGCTCAGGTGAGGCAGTGAGTCCAGATGCCCTGTGCGGCCCCTCGCGGCGGCTGCCGACTCCACCCCACGTAGCCACTCGGTGCATTTGCGCACCAGGCCCTCGTCCACCACCTCCACCTCCTCCTCGTACTCCTCATCGTCATACTTGTGCTTCTCATTGAGCAGCGACACCTTGAGCACCGGACGCAGGCTGGAGGGGCGCGAGCTGGGCATAGTGGCCTGCAGACCTCCTGGCATCAACGAGGCACTGGGAGAGCGGCTGCTGACAGCCACAGCCAGAGGCGCGTCGGGGACACTGGTGGGACCGCCCCTCCGCAGGGTCGAGGTCCTGGTCCGGGGACAGGGGACCAGTGGGCGCCGAGGGTCGACCGAGGGCGTGGGGAAGGGCCTGCGGGACCGAGCCATCAACTGCTTCTCCAGGTGGCGCCTCTGGATGACCAGGATGGCTTC